TTTTCATTAGATCACAGATTCTGGTTCATACTTCAGGTATGTAGTTACCTGATAAAGTAGATTGTCTGAGTAAATCCTTATATCTCAATCTCCTTTTTCTGCATAAAATTGACTATATTGGATACACTTTATTCTATTTCTGAAATGTAGGTTCATTATCTTTGACAGGTTGAGGACCATGGTCTTAGCAGCAACTTCTTCCCATTTATAGTTGCAGAGAAAGAGGTTTGTTCTGAGATTCGTACATTGGAGAGCATTATCGAGGATGCTAAAATGGCCGATGGTTTTCTGCGAGGAACTGAAGAATTTCAAGCCAGGGACCAAGCTCTGGACTTTTTACATGAACTGGGTTGGCTGCTTCATAGAAGCCATTTGAAATTTAGAGTGGGTTCTGGTGCCAGCTTGAATCTTTTCCCTTTTCAGAGATTCCATCGGCTTATAGATTTCTCCATTGACCATGACTGGTGTGCTGTAGTAAAGAAACTGTTGGATGTCTTCTTCAATGGCGTTGTGGATGTAGGAATACAGTCATCACTTGACGTTCCATTGCAGGAGGTTGGCATCCTTCATCGAGCTGTGAGGAGAAAGTGCAGATCTATGGTAGATGTCCTCTTGAAATATCGTCATCATGGAGCTTTTCACAAATCAGGACTACAAAAGCAAGAAGATGATCGTGGTTATTTATTTAGACCTGATGCAGTGGGTCCTGGGGGTTTGACTCCACTTCATATTGTTGCTAGTCTTGCTGGCTATGAGAATATTTTGGATGCTTTAATTGATGATCCAGGACAGGTATATTTTCCTTTTTCTATTATGCGCATTTGGGTCTTTTGCCATGAAAATAGACAGTGCCCTCAATCCACAGAAAGGTGTGGTTTTGTGTGTGTGTGGGACTGTGGAGCACGATAAGATCAGCAATAGCCTTCAGTCTTTTCCTTGTTATCAGGATTGATATATTAGCACTCTAATCCAGGGTGGCTCTAGAAATCTCAGTATTTAAGTATTGGCAGCCCCTCCCTGACAATATGTACTTTGGTTACTGTAACGGGACTTGACCACCTGAACCAAGATACCTCTGCGAAATTCACTTCTCGATGGACCTTTTGATATGTTCCAACCTCTAAGAAGAAGTATGCATAGTGCTTTTCACTTGAGCTAATTAGGATGTATGATGTGACCTAATTGGGTTTATCATCATTGCCTTAACAATTGAGGAGCAAAAACACTCATGCAGTTAGGGGTCATTTGGTTGGAGGTATTACCAGAACTAGTACAACTATCAATATATTGATTGATTGGAGCCAGGAGGGAATAGGAAGAGTAATTCCCTATTAACTAATGTGAATATGGTTAGCTGTATAAAAACGTATTAAATAACTAACACAACGTTTAGTTGATGGTACTGAATAATACGCATTAAGTAATACAATCATCTATGTATTATGTTATACGAGATTAGAATGTTGAGTAAGAATGCACTTGTTCGCAATACGGAGACAAAAATGCCCTTAAATTGTGGAGGACTCCTAAGTCCTAACTCTGTAAATTGTGCTTGCTCCGACTTAGTGCTAGACTATTTTTCCTTTATCAATATGATCACTATTTACCTGTTTAAAGAAAACAAAGATGCCTTTAGAGTAGATAATCCTTACAAAGTATTCCAGATATTATTACTCATCATATTACAATCCCTACATTATTATTCACCATGTAATTATCCATTTATTATTATAATACCGTACAAACAACTCCTACATTATAATTCCCGCATAACTAGCATGTAAACCAAATGACCCCCTATTAGTTCATAAATACACATCCTTGCTTTCCCTGAATAAGGGACTTCAACTGTTTTCTCTTTTCTAAACTATGACTTCTCTTTGCAGTGTAGAGTATTTTTTTGCAACCTGCTCTTTCTTAGGCTTTAGTTTTTGAGTAAATATGTCTCTGTAACTTGCTTCAAGGTTATGGTCATGAGTGGTCTGTTGAAATGTGTGACCATCTCATTAAAAGCTTAAACCATTAGAGAGAGCACACTTTTATTATTTAATTGTATTCTCAACACATCCCCTCACGCGTGGCCTTGATTCTTTTTCATGAGCCAAACATGTGGAAATTCTTTTTAATAATGGGTGGTGGTAAGATTCTAAACACATCCCCTCACGTGCGGCCGCCAAGCACGTGGAAATTCTTTTTGATACCATGTTGAAGTGTGTGACACATTGTTGTGAAAGGCGATCACCTCGTTGCCAATGGCGAGAGGCGAGGCGACCCTTCATCGCCTTTTAGCTTTGTGGCGGCGATCTTCCAAAGGCGACAAAAAGCGAGAGGTGAGAGGCAAGAAAAGTGAGAAAGGCGTCGCCTTTTGTATTTTCTTAAAAATAGGCGACCAATTTTGGGTTTTAAAAGTTAAAAGGTAATTTTAGGGTTTACGACTAGACTCCTCCGGCGACCAGCCAAACGTTTCCGGCTACTCCAAAGTCCAACCAATTCATATTTCTTCTTTTCTTCTTCCTCGGTTTCTTTTTACTTCTTCTTCAGACTTCAGAGTCACTTCTACCTCTGTTTTGACTTTTGTTTTGTTTTTTTCTCATTCAAGTTCTAGACTTTTAGTATGTACGGTCTATTTTCAGTTTTTTGAATTAAAATATTTGCTAATATGGTATTGCTATTGAGATTTTGATTATTTACATATGCAATTAAATATTTTAATTTTTTGGTAAATTAGTGCCGCACTTCAAAAAGGCGCTCGCCTTTTATCGCCTTTCGCCGTTTAAAACACTGGCGTGACCATTTCATCTAAAAGCTTAAGCTATTAGAGAGAGCACACTTTTATAATTTTAATGTATTCTCAACATGTTCAATTGCTGAATAAGAGGCACTCTGGTATATTCATATACACAAGGATGCTTGTGTTGTAGATCTTTCCTTGTTTTATTTTCTGGTTCCATTGTTTGGAAAGAAATGAGTTAGGCAGGTGTTTCAAGGAGCTCATTAATGATGATTGTTTTCTTCAGGTGGGAATTGAAGCTTGGAAAAGTGCCCGTGACAGTACCGGACTGACACCCAATGATTATGCATGCCTGCGATGCCATTACTCATACGTCCATATGGTCCAGAAAAAAATCAATCAGAAACCAGGTGACGGGCATGTTGTTCTTGATATCCCTGGTTCATTGTTGGATAGCAATCTCAAGCAGAAACTATCAGATGGTCATAGGTCGGTAAAAGTAACTAGCTTTCAAACTGAGAAGTCTTTAGGGAAACCAATTCACCGACAATGCAAACAGTGCAAACAGAAATTATCTTATGGAAACTCAGGAACATCACTTGTATACAAACCGGCAATGCTTTCAATGGTTGCAATTGCTGCTATCTGTGTTTGTGTAGCTTTGCTATTCAAAAGTTCACCGGAGGTTCTTTATTCGTTCAGACCCTTCAGATGGGAGCTGCTGAAGTATGGCTCCATCTAAAATAAGGTATAGCCTTATGTTTTAAGAAGATAATATAGGAATGCCATGGCTTGTTTTTTCTTCTGACTTAATATGCCACGATATAATTGGGAGAGCTCCAACTCTGTATATTTATTTTGTCTAATTCATCATAATATACATAAGAAGCTTTAACTGCAAATAGGAGCTTTATTCTTTTTATAAGTTGATAGCACTACTTGAACAGGACTGGCCACTGGGTTTGTAGTCGTAGACGCCTCAGATCTGACCCCGAATATGTTGTGTAAGATGAGTAAATTGCTTTGTATTTTAACTATATGGACTGCTAATTGCCTGCATCTATGGTTTGAGCACACATTTTCCTTGCTATATTGATCTTCCTTGGCTAGTTAGCTTCCAGTTAGGTAAAATCTGGACAAGTTATTACATTTTTCATCAACATTGTTTCTTTTTAGCTGTTCTTTATTTGTCTTTGTATAGTTTTTTAGTATAATTGTCAAACTTATGATTTCCTATTTGTACCTACTTCAGCTACTACTTGTTTGAAAATCTTTATCAAACATATTGGAAGGAATATCTATTCAAAATGTCACTTGAAAGTTCTAGTGTTATGCGCAACTTTCTCACTTTTGATGCCGCAGTTGTGTTGGATTAACATACTATTTTAGAGAATTTGACATGCATCCATTGACATTTTTGAAGAATCTAAGCAATATCGATGAAAGGTAAATTCAAGCGATTTAAATTAAAATTGTTTGCCCTCTCCTCGTACTAAGAAGCAAGTGCAGAATAACGTGTAAAAGGAACTCCTGGATATATTTGGGATGCTACAAATCGAATCACCAAATGGTGAGTTAATGCGAAAGCAGGCAAAGGATAATATGCTCGGCTCCAATAGATCTTTATCAACATACTATATTTAAAAAAAAAAAAAATTATGAATGGTTTTACTGGTTTCTAATAATTCAGCTTTTTATTTTAATATATAAACTAAAAATCAAACTTAATGCATTCTATTCTATTTCCAATATTTCATGAGCATTTTTTTGCCTATTTTCCTTCTTTTTTTCCAGTGGACTTGTAAATTAAGAAGCCTCAAATCATTCCCTCCGTTTAATTTTTATTCGAAAATAAATTTTTATTTTTAATTATCACTTTTAATATTTTAAAGAAAAATACTTATCGTTTTCTATTTTATTTTCACCATTAATTATTCATTTTTTAAGAACTAAAGTATACATCAACTAATATAAATATCATGATAAAATACTTATTTAAATATTATTTCTAAAATGACTTATAAAATTCAATATGAACAATTATAACTAAAGAGAATATGAGTGTTTTCAAGACTGCTCTCGATTTTTTATTATATATCATTTATTATGGCATATAATAAATCATTGTTATATTTAAATTTAGTTAGTCAAATCGAGAAGTATTTTAAGATTGTTAATAATTTGAGAATGAAAATAATAATTTACTCCAAGTTTGACAAATTAATAGGAGTATAAGAAATACTATTTATTTTACTCTTGGTGTCGGTCGAATCGAAGAAATTTCCATGGCGGCTCGGCAAATTCAGAGGCGAATTCTGAGTCTTCTCTCTACTAAAACCTACATCTCTCAAGGTATGCTTCCCCTCTAGCTTTTGCACAGAGAGTTGATAAGCCCCAATTCTTATACTTTTTTTTTAAGGTAAAACTCTGAGCTTTATCATTCTGTATTCAATGTTTTCGCATTCAGTATAAACCCTGAAAAAAATGTTTTTTTTTTGTTTTCTATTTTTGATTATTTCATGATAGGCTAAGCTAGTGAGGTATAGAGGCAAATAGGGTAATTTTTTTTGATGTATTTAGTTGTTTGGAAGTAAATGAAGTGAGTTAGGAGGATTTCTCTACTATGATCTCATTTATAATCTTTGTGTATTGTTTGAATTTATGCTTAGTTATTATTATTATTATTATTATTATTATGTTATTAGAGGTTGTGGATTTGGGGAAGTGAAGGCACATGCCAATTGAATTTTGAGGGGGTTATGGTAGAAAGGAACATAATTTCCTGTTGAAATGTTTCTAAATCTAAAATTTGGAAACAATTTCAAATGAACCATTGGAGAATAACATAAGCGAAGGAAGTCGTTTTGTGGAATGTTTGGTTGCTAATTAAGCCTTCTTTCATACCAAACACGCTCGGAAATCATCTTTCTGAGTTATTTGAGAGTGTTGAGTTAGCATAACGGGATTTGAGATGTCTAGGGTTAAATTCAAAGGCATTGAGTTTCTAGATATGTCCTCGCTAAGGTGGTTCGACTATCATGAGTGAGATTCCTATGTGGCTGTTTTAGGGAAGAATGTATAAGCTCCCCGTTGTGGCTCTCGGGGCTTGATGCTCAACCAGCACTCTTATCAGTGGTACATTATGTGATGCATATGTGTGAGTTAACACATATTGAAGCAATTCAATAGTTTCATCATTGAAACTATCTGACTTGAATCTTTTTGTGTTGTAAAGAAGTCCTAACTCATTTTCTTTAGATTGTCCATGTTTTAATTCTTACTAAGACTTTTAAAGGTTGACTCTGAAGTTTGAGTAGTGGTTGTTTCATTGGTTCTGTAATTTCTTTCCTAATTCCAACCTCGAATCGATATTCAAATCCCTATTTAGCCTCCCTTAAACCTAGGGCAAAATCACCCAATTTCTACCCATAATCCATGATTTAGATGCTTTAGTTAGCGTAGATTCATGTATAATCGTCTCCTCAACGTTATATGACATGCCTTAGTCGATTCTCTTTCTGTCTTTCCCGTCCATAACTTTGGTCTCCCAAAATTGTGTTGGAATGTTGAGAATCCTTAAAAACAACCACTTCATACCCAAGCCACTGGCCCTCAAGTGGTTAAGTCCGCAATTACGAGGTCCCTCTCGCAAACACGGCTGCACCAGAAAAAATAAATCTGCAACATGCTTAAATGTGAGATCCTGCATCAAAAAATCACCTGAGCTCCTCAAATCCCTAACATCCAGCAGGTCCCAAACTACTATATGGACTTAAAGGAAGTCTCAAATCATGGAATGGGATTCAAATACTCAAAATGAAGGGTGGCTTTCGGACAAACTTCTCTTATATTAGAAGCAATTGACAATTCAAATAATATGATTTGTTATCCTCAGTTGTGTGTAATTTATCCTTTTGATGTTTTTGTTAAAATATTATAATTACTCTGCGTTGTGCATCTCCACCTGTTTTTTGTGAAGAACTTGTTACTGAGATTCTACCGCGTTTCTTACTTTTTCCAGGATTACCATGGAGTTCTGTTTCTCCTGCAAGGTCAGCTTTTGGCATGAACAATATATGTTCAAGACGGTGTTTTCAAACAGTTACAGAAATCACCAAGCAGGCTGTTGAAGTAGGGGAAAGTAATAAAGATTGCGATCCAGATACCAATACCGATTCTGCTGCTGCAGTTGTTTCTAGTATCATGAAAGAGACCACATACAAGTACACTGTGCAATCTAATCTTAAAACCTCCCCAAGACATGACCTGATGATGATCTTCACTTGCACAGTATGTGAAACCAGAACCATGAAAACAGTTTGTCGTGAGTCATATGAGAAAGGTGTAGTGGTGGCTAGATGTGATGGTTGTAAAAACATACACCTTATTGCTGATCGTCTCGGGTGGTTTGGTGAGCCTGGTAGCGTGGAAGACTTCCTGGCTGCTCGTGGAGAGGAAGTGAAAAAGGGCTGTGTTGATACTTTAGGTTTTACACTCGAAGATCTGGCAGGAAAGAAATCACTGGAAACTATTAGGGGAGAAGTAGAATCCAAATCTGAGATTTAGAAGTGAAATCTGGAGATTGAAATTAACCAAGTTGATTTTGTAATGAACATTGAATATGCAAGTCTATAGTTACTTTGGCAATGCTTACAGCTTTTATTTGCTTATAAATATACAAATTTGAGACTTATATGAAAACCCAATAAGCTTCAACCGACAGCTAAAGTAAGGAGGATTGTCCAAGTCTTATAAGGAGCTCATGTTCTCATCCTAGTGCGATGTGGAACATTCTCATCTATAGAAGTCCTTTATAATATATTGATCATGAAATGATTGAAGTTACTGATTTATATGTATACCCTATGATTAAACATGTATTTTAGAAGAGCTTTTAAGAAATATCAAATTAGGTTGGACTGTTAAATTTGATAGGGAAGGATTAGCAAGAAAATATTAATAAGGTTGTGTTTGGTAAAGAGGAATATATATTTTAAATGATCAGTTAAGGACTCTCATGACTATGACATGTCGGCATACTAGAAGAGACGAGATTAGAAATGAAGATATTTGAGACAATATAAGGATGACTTTTATCGTAGATAAGATGAGAGGAGCGAAACTGAAACAATTCAACCATGTGAAAGAGAATGGGTGCCGATGTCCTAGTTATGATCTCTGTCACTGTGTGAGGTTGATTGTGGTGAGCTTAAGAAGAAAGTAGAGGTAAGTCGGACATATGATACATTTCTAGCTTATCGAGGACATGACCCTAGATAGAAAGTTATGGAGGTCGTGAATTAGAGTGGTAGGTTAGTAGGTAGTTAAGCGTCGTCTTATTGTCCTATAAGGTAGGTTTCTCCTTTCATTCCAATAGTATTAACATCATTTTCGTAGTTTTTGGTCCCTCGATTTTTGCTGCAACATGTAGTTTATTGCACTTTGACTATCCTTTTGTTTGTTGTGGTTATTGTTCTTTTTTTCTATATGCTTTAGAATGCCTTCAATATTATTGTGTTATATTCATTACTTATTTTCTCCTTTTTAATTTGCTTTGATATATGTGTTATTTGTATTGAAGATTTTTCGGACATAATCTCTGTATTTTTGAAAAATAAAAGTAAGATCTACATATATTTTATCCTCTCAAATTCCATCCATAAGTTTACATTGAATATAATGTTGTTATTAGGGTGTAAATATTTTGATTACTTGTCAAATACAAAGAGGAGTAAGAAAATTGTTTACTTCTTTAAAAATATTTTCTTTAGTACCAAACAACCCTCATGTACATAATTATTGTATAATATAATATAATATAATATAATATAGTTTTGGAAAAAATATATTTTGTGCCTTGTACAAATGATACTAATTGAAAATTAGTGGATGAAAAGTTTGTGAATTCAAAAGGTATGATTTACCTTTACTAACTTGTGAGACAAAAAGAAATTTCACCCGATTAATGTCATTATGTGATATATAATATATCTTTTTGTTTTAAATTATTCATCATATATTTTCTACATGTCCGTAAGAAAACATTAATAGGACGATTTAAAAATACTTTACCCTTATTTATTCACTAAATATTTACTCTATTTGCGTGTCATCTCCATATAATTGAGGTATTTGTAGTTTTCAAAAACAATCACTACTAAGGACAAAATGAGAAAATACAAGTAATTTTGTCTTGAATTTTTAAAGTAATACTATCTCCGTCTATCTTTACTTGTCTAGTATCACCTTTTGAATATAAAAATAATGATAAATGTGAAATTAGAAACTAAGTAATAAAATATTTTTTATTTAAAAAAAAATAGATAAATAAAATTAAATACCTACTTTTAGTATAATTGACGAGAATAAGTAATTTTGATACAACTATATTTAGAAATCACAATAAATAATTTGAGGTGGAGACATCAATCCGTATACGTTGATCCCAAGTTAATCTCAGCCGTTGATCTCCCTCTTGTAGTATCACGTGGTGACCCGTCTGGGGAAACGGGTCAAAAAAATGCTGTAACCGAAAAAAAGTTGGACTCTAATATTTTTTCTTCATCAGCTGAATTAAGCTCTCTCAGCCTGAATTTCACCGAGCTCCGATCAGTTTCCGCCGCAGCTAAAGGTCAGGTTCTCTTTATCTTCTCCCCGCCGGTGAAGTTAGTGTATGCTCAATTTTCGTTTAATTTCTTCAAACTTCATTCATTTTCTACACGAAGAACATGTATGAATTGGAGTTGTTTTTTTTGGGGAAAATATCGACCTCATGAGTTTACTGAACTGTTAGTTTATGTCTCTGTAAATTTCAAAATTGAAATGCAGGTAGTGGAAAATTTAGGCTTTTTGTTTTCTACTGGATTAGGTGAATTGGTTATTGATTACATTGGCACATTTAGTGCCTAATTACTGCTAATTTTAAGTGAAATTATAAGCTCTTTCTTGTTGAAATGTTTACTTAGTTGGAATTGATTTGGACTAGAATGATTAGTTCATCTAATTACTCCTAATTGAGATATGAGTATACTGGGTTGCTCAAAAAATGGTTTTGGGTATTGAAATAATGAAAAGACGAATGCACTAGGTTGATATTTTGGTATTATTCCACATAGAATAGCTTTAGGATTTTCCAGTGAAGATTTAGTTAAGAATAGAGTTTAACTCAATCTCAAAAAATTAAAAATAGCTTTTCCAATTTGCTTTATAAATCTGGGCTGAAGTGTTTGCTTTGAATACAACAAGGACTACACCTCAAGCATAAGTAAGTTGGGGTTCAGTGTTTGCTTTGAATACAATAAGGACTACACCTTAAGCCTATGTAAGTCGGGGTTCACTATATGATCCTTATAATGTTTGCTTTGAGCGACTCAGTAATTTTTGGCTGCAGGATGATATGCTGATTCTCTACCCTTGTGTTTCAATTTATCGATATTACTTTTCCATGCTGCAACAGGCTCAAGGAAAGCACTGTTTTATGCTTTTGCTGTGGCACATAAGAGACAATTCTCTAGCTTTGCCCTTTCCAATTTCACATTAAAATGGTATACATAAGAAAATTTTAATATGTATGGTTCTATTATGTTGCTTCATTCTTAATCATTCTTTGTTTTACTCTAGCGTGAATATTCAGATAGTGAAAATTCTTCGAAGCCTGAAGGTGTGAGTGGAATCATGCCTAAAGTTGAAGATCCATATTGCGAATTTCCATCTGTATACACATATACAATGCCTATGGGGGTAAGGAAAGAAAAATGCATTTAGCTGAGTTTTCAACTCCTTGGTAATATGGTTTTACTGTCAGGTGATAGCATTAATATTCATCACCTCTGTAATCATCTCATTTTGTGATGCTAATGCATTTGTAGGACAATATTGCAAGCTCATCAGGCAGCAATGTGAGGTCATCTCTTCTGACCATGGGGTTTACGGCATCACTTGTTGATAAAGCAATTGAGGAAAAGGGTATGTAGTGAGCAGTAACTTCTGTTTTAATCTATTGCGAGATTGTGTTGGCAAATAGTTTTCTACTGAATTTTGGAGAATTAGCACCAAGTGTACCACCTTAAAAAAGGAAAAAGAAAAAGAATACCAACTCATATATTTTCTTCAAAAGTTTTGGTTGTTATTACAGTTGGATAATTTTTGAAGGGATATTTTCTTTTCAATCTAGGTGAAGACAACATAGACTTGTTACTGGAGACTCTTTTTGCAAATTCTGTAAGTAACTATTTATAATGTATGGTACTTCTTTGATTCTGCAAATTTCTTGCCTGAAATAATGTGTTGATGCGAAGTGCTACTCCTCTTTGTCTAGTTAGCACCCTCAATACCTTTTAACTTCTGGCAACTTAAAACTTCTTATCACAACTTCTCTTTTCAGTGTTTATTTCCTGGGAAAAGAATGAACGATAGCTTAGTCTATTAAGAAGTTAGATAAATAAACACACCCAAAGGATAGCGGCTGCGGGTTTCCCTTGTCATCAAGAAAAAAAAGTTAGAAAAATAAAATTACTACTTCTTGGGTCCTCAGCGTCTAGTTAGGTAGCTATTAAGTGCCCCTCTACAAATGTTTGCTTGTGGTGAAGTGAGCAGTACTTTCGCAAAATGTCAGCAATACTTTCTGAGTTTTAGGTTATCTACAATGCAATTGTTTTGCAGATCATAAACAACAAAAATTAGGTATGTTGATCTATCTCCCTAATCAAATATGTATCTTTCCCTTTTGGTTTACCCCAAAATGCTGTACAATCTTTAAAAGGTCAAGACATATATACACTAAGAAGGACCTACTGTTTGTCTTTTCAATGCAGTTTTTCTCAGCTCTCTACTTTAGTTTTTCAAAAACAAAGAAGATAAAAATATTTCTGTTGTACCACATGTTCACCAAGCAAATAAATGGTTCACTTTTTAGTTTTTTCTCTTGAAAACACCACCCGGAGTCAAACTTAGCTTAGCTCCTGCTATTTTCTATAATTTCTATATTTTAAGGTTCTTTGCTTTTGGTATTGAGTTATTTTATGCATATGTACAATTTCTTTTCATGTTTTCATAGGACAGCTTCTGCTTCACATAGTTGGATGATTTTCTTGAGTTTCTTCCATTTTCCTCTATTCAAGTTTCTTGTTCTGTTAGGTTTGACATTAGAAACAAAAGGTAGTAGATTCGACATGTTCAATAAAAATAAAGTTTCACTTCACTAATTGTGCTAATCATGGATGCAGAATATTGTGCCACTCAGTTCTTGATTTGCCTCGGAATAACCAGAATTGATTGTGGTTTGTGTGTTTAACAGGATCCTCCTAGAGCAGAATCATCAGATTCTCTGGATAGCTTGTTTTGTGATGACGAGGACATAAACAGTTCTGCCAAGTATGATGGAGATGCACATATAAAAGAGGTAAAGGAATATGGTTCTATGTGGTGTGAGTTACGTGCTTTCTATAAATGTTGGTTGATACTCACTGGTTGAAATGAATAGTAGTTTGTAGTAATTTACGACACATTCGTTGTGAACTGCTATAATATTAGTATGTGTAATGCTCCATATGGTTTCTTAAGGTAGTACATTTTATAGTTTTTTTGATACTGGCTAACTCCTTTATCCTTGGCTCTTCAAACTTCATACTTCAGTCAATATAATCACTTTCTGGTTACTGC